CTTATTCACTAATGACCTTCCAATCTTAAGATGGTTAGAATTCTTCTGAAAAAAAAAGCAACTTTAAGCTCCAACTTCAAAATGAGTGAATGAGTAAAATGAATGTGCTTCAGGCAAAGGCTCTAATCTTATTTACTTTTTATTTCCTAATTATACTAATAGCAATGCAATCAAGGATCTTTTTCTAAATGTGTCATATGGAAAGCAAGTAAAGACAGAAGGAAGTTTGATCTGCTATGCCCATGAAGACTCTCACATTTACATTCAGTATCATATTGGAAGTCAAATGGCAAAGTCTGTATGGCACATTCCTCATTTTAAATTTGGCCAGAGCTGAGTTGGTAAGAATTAATTATCAGCTTAATATTCACTTCAGAATTCTTATATTATAAAAGGTAGTGGTATCATATAAAATCTTCTTCTGAGCCAATTCATAAAAGACTAGAGCCATTGCTGAACACACAAAGGGAATAGTGGTGGTACAATCCTCTCTAACAAGAACAAGACATCACTTTTGCTTTTTTACTGAGGAAAGTACCTGAGTTTTATAAGTCAGATTCAGAGGAATAATTTAGCTTTTCATTAGAAGGGAAGAAGATGTCTTAGTGCAAAGGAGGGCAAAGAGAGTCAAGAAACTTTAAACCTGAATAGATACACTAAAACAAAAGCATAACATCTTCTCCTGTTTTCACATATGAAGAGGAAATCCCCATTTTAAAAAATCCAGATAGCCAGCAGTCTCAAGACAAGATGCCAAAAGGACTTTTGACAAAAATGATGACGATTCAAGAATGACTCATTTTTGTGTCTATGGGGTTTTGAAAGAGGAAAGTCAAATTACTGAGGAGTCTCTTTCTAGAGATATTTATTTCTTTTGGAACATTTTATTTTGACAATATGACTGGATCACTTGATTACTTACCATCTACTTATTTTAATCATCTTGAATAAAGACTATTTTATATGAAAGATGAAAGAAATGACTATCAGTGTCTTCATCATCATTTTCTAACCTGTCAGGAGATGATGTGTATGAATTCCAGTTCAATTTATTAACACAATGGAAAAGGCATTAAAGATAATTTTACATTGAACCACAATCAGTCTTATAAAAGGGGTAGCTTATCCAGAGAATCACAAAAGACAAAAGAGTTTGAACTCTCAGACATCATCATGTTTTGGTGAAAGTATAGTAAACCTTCACTGACATTTTTGCTGATGTCAAAAAAACTCCATAAATAAGGGAAAACTGTGTTAAAATATCACAAGGTGACAACCATAAAAGTATCCTCCATACCTCCTTTTGTTTTATTTTTAAATCCTTGGATTATAAAATTGTGTAAAATAATTGATTAAATATTGTTAAAACAAGTATTAAATACTGAATATCCACCAATCCCTAGATCTAGAACTAGATAACATCAGAAAAACACTCCCACTAGGTCATTTCCTTTGACAATCACAATGGTCCTTCACACAGCCTGTACTACAGGTCTCCAGAATCACAGAAGCAATAGGATGTGTGTGTGTGTGTGTGTGTGTGTGTGTGTGTGCGTGAGTGTGTGCTCCAGAATCACAGAAGCAATAGGATGTGTGTGTGTGTGTGTGTGTGCATGTGCGTGAGTGTGTGTGTGTGTGTGTGTGTGTGTAGATGCATGGAAGAAACGGTGCTGTTTCCCTTGTCCAAAGGGAGAATGAATGCAGAATTACCTCTATCTCACAGGACCTCACTTGTTTATTCTAAGGTATTCAAACTGATTGAATAAGGATCACCACATTATGGAGAATAATCTACTTTACTGAATATTTAATAATGTTTAATGTCACCTCATCAGAAAATATCTTACAGAAACAACTGCAATAATGTTTAAACAAATACCTGAGTACCACAGACTAGCCAAGTTGAAACATGAAATTAACCACTACATTGACTTTCCCAAATAAGATGCTTTGAGGTTGCTTTATATATAAATAAAAAAACTATGACGTGTTATATCCATTTTATCTTGTGTCGTCTTTTTGCTTCTAGCATCAACTTTTGAAGCTACCAGAACTTCTACAATGTCAAAAATCTTAACTGAAAAAACACTAATTATAGGCTCAGTTGATGGTGCTGACTACTATGACATATTCATCAAATATATATTCTTTTGGTAGACATAATACTTAAATTTGAACAATGGACCATTACTCTAAGCATAATCATGGTCTGTCCTGTGGTAGGTTTTATATTTACAGTTACAACTGTAACTGAGAATTACTTCTGAGAATTTGCCTAATTTTCCTAATACAACCTGCAATGTTGGCTAATATTTGACACACAATAAGCCACTTGGAAGAAAAAGACCTTAAATTTATAATTTCACTAACCATTACTAGTTTATAAGTTTGAAACATCAGAAACATTAATAATCAAAAGCTCCAGCACTAACACAGGTAGTCACTTAGTTACTGTTTCAGTTGTTTACTCTGGGTACAAAAATGGAAAAGAAATGAACAAATAATCATTAAACACTCTGACCATGGTAGTGTGAGAACATGTTGCTTGTCAAGAAAATCTTCCTCCTCATCAGTACTGCTCTCAGAAAATGACAACAAAGACTGCATTTCTGTATCTTTTCCAGAAGACCTGAAAATACATTAAAAAATCAATACACAATATACAGAATCAAGTTTCAGCTTTCATTTATATTCTGAACAATACTACATACATTGAAGTCATTAAGGCAGGCAAATATAAGGGTGCTGTATCAAACTGGGGCATAATTTTCAATGTGACTAGTATACTAAGCTGCCTTTTAATGAGAAATTCCCATTTTTCTCTTTCCCATGAAGTAAAGCCACAATGGAAGCAAGAAGAGAAGATTTTATGGTCTCTGATACGGTCTTTCATTGGTGATTCAGAGGGCACTTCAGAAACTTGCAGAGCCTCAGTTGTCATTAACAACATTCACCATTACATTGGCCATTTAATAGAATCCCAGTAAAGAGACTGCCAGATAAATCACCTCTTTTGTGTACAGTAAATTAGGACTATGTGGACAGCCAGTCAAAACATGCCAAAGCCAAAATTAATTACAGTCATTATTTTTTTTTTGTATTTTATTGTGGGGAAGGTAGAAACTGACAGAGACTCTGTCATATAGGTGCCTGAGGTATAGAACAAAAGGAGCATGGGGAACAGAAAGGGCTACACAAGTCACATATTTTGGTCTAAATTTTCAGCCCAGGGATGCCACAAAATATGAAATTCTTCATCCTGTGATGGATATAACTGTTTTTTTTTTTTTTATTTTCATGTGCAATGTAGGTTAAGCCAGTAGTTCACAAACTCTGGTCTGTGGACCAGTGCAGATGCAACTGTGATGAAATTTTCACTCATCAGAAAAGCAGAGAATATAAGAAAAGACAGTGACTATTCAGTAATTTTAATTTTAAAGAACTGTACTTTATACTGCTTTTTCCCATAATATCCTTAGTTTCGGGTGTCCTTTCTTTTATGAAATAATGGTGAAAGTACAGGTAGACTTATTAATGACTTTTTTAGAAAATACAGCAACTTCATATTGATCTCTATGTTAGAGTTAAAAATGGAAAATAGCTAAGAACAACAGCTAAATAATTTCCTCCTTCAGATTTGACAAAGTACCAGACTCTTGATTCCTTTCTACTGCAATATTAGATGACAAAACAATCAAAGGAATTTACATTTCAAAAGACTTTTAATTTACACTTATTTTACTGTTTCTAAAAGTAACGATCCTCCTTCTCCAACAATTCCATAACATCAGTAACAGAATGATGTGACAGACTGCTTTTCTGAAGCATTTACTAGTAGAACCTACGGTCCTTGCAAACTGATCCCCTTCCATGTCACTACCTGATGTGAGAAACAATGAAATGGTACAAATTAAAGTATCATTAACAATCTAGATGCTGCTTCAGGAAAGAAACTTCTAGATATTCTACCCTAAAAACTTTATTTATATTGGGCATGATTTTATTATTGTAAAATATTGAAATTTGTTAGGTTAATTAATTCAAGTAGGACATTTGATTTTCAGCATAAGAAGAAATGATGAGAGATTATTAATTCCAAATATCTTTTCATCTTTATGATACACTTTTTGAAGCAAAGAACTATATCTTCACATTAAAATACAAACTTTATAAGCCTTTCACTAAATCCTGGCCAGCAAAGCACCTAAACATATAAAGAATGGTCTTAGAAAGTACACACATGGAATAATTTTTCTTTACATGGTAAAGAAAACTAATCAGGGCTTATCCACATTTTACTATATACTGTTTTTATATATAAAGATGCAGGTTTAACTTACTTTAATTCCTCAAGGGTGCAGTGCCTCCTCACATGTGCAGTATTAAGGAAATCCGTGAAAATCTAACTGACATTCAGTGAGTCATTGTTGAAGACTGACTAACTCTTCACAGGTTAGACTGTAAAGTTTTTCTGAAGGATATGAAATATTTTATTTCATGCACACTTGAATTCAAGAAACAAATGCACAGAGTTTGGTGCTGGAAGTTTATCCAGAATAAACTATGATCAGTACAGAGGATCAGCACAGATTTTAACAATCCCTGAATTGTCTAATGTCTGCTGAATGGTGAAGTGAGAGCTAAGTGTGACCTAAGATTCCATATTAGGATGTGGGAGGTTGGGGTTGTACTTTAGCCTGTGTGAGGCCCTGGATTCCACATCTACCACTAAAAAAAACCAAAATAACAATATATCAGTGCGTGGATATCAAATCACCTTAATCATAGCAATTTTTAAATATACACTGTACTTTCGCAATTTGCCAAATGTCCTGAGCACTCACAGTTTCAAAGGAAATCAAGCAATCTTCTTTAAACACTAAAATATTATGCAGATGCTCAATATTACTTAATTTTTTCTAAGAAATAAAATTTTACCTACACACACCTTAAGGAAAAGGCTAGTCATAGCAAACCTACTCTTTCCTTTTTGGCGTCCTTGTTTTGTATAAATAATCATTTATATTTGAAGGAGAAAAGAATTAAGTCTTCCCCCTTTTTTATCACACCGGCTTATGACTCAGCCTAGGTAGGTATGGAGTACTAGTACAAGTTAAATAAACAAAATGAGTTTAGGCAACCATATCTTGAAATAAACTACTATCAACTCGAGTAAAGACATAAATATAACTATTTTTAGAAAGGCTTTAATGTCTTCTTTTTGACAAGGATGAAGTTGTAAAAACCACAGAACACATAGTTACACTATGATGACTTTACAGCTGTAAGAATCACTGGGTGTTATTCTTCTTTCATGTTTACAAAAGTGCCGAGTATATGTTCCTCCCAGTTAGAAGGCCCAAACACCAAGCTACAGTTATCCTATACTGAACTGAAAATATTTTTTTGATGGTTAAAATAACATCTTAATGTTTTGGGACAAGCAGAGATTCTTTGACTGAAAGAAATTACATTATTCTTACTGAAATAGAGAACTCAATACACTTACACATGGACATGTCCTTAAAATTATTTAGCCCAGTGGCTTTCAAATTATTATACATAGATAAATTATGTAGGTTTAGGATAAAGTTCTTATCTCCACCATCCTGAATCAGGACTGTTATACCCAATCTAGTTTACATTTTGGGATTCTATATAAGATTAATTTTGAAAGAAAAACAAAAGATTCTTGAGCTAAAAATTCTTAAACCACCTAGCTTCTTCCATCCTCACTTGTTAGAGATTAGAAAATTAGGGACCTACAGAGAAATAGTAACTTGGAAGTCAGAAAACTACATGGGGCAAGAGCTGGAGCTAGATCTATGTTCCTTTAGCTCACCAATATTGTAAATTATTATGTTCCAGAATAGCATTCTTAAATTTCAAGCTGTTGTCTTCTCTCCCATTTTTTACAAGGTGAAAGAAGATAGGTACCAAGTGAAAGGGAATGCCTCCACAGCATAGCAGTCAATGCAGGATTGGGAATGATCAAAATTACAAAACTAATGCTCAACTGTCTTGCTTAGATGTAGGGAATCCCACTAGGAGAGGCATTCAAACTCAGTTAGATGTTTGAGTTCCAACTGAATGATCAGAGAGTCTATTTTGTTGAAACATTGATTCTAAAATTATTTTTCAGAACACTTTATGAAGTTAACAAGAACCAAGGCAATACCACTTGATTTTAGATAATGGAAAAATCAAGACAGAGCAACATAGAAGTATGTACAAAATCCTCATTATTTTAAGTTAGTGTTAAACCCAAAAGGTCAATTTTACAATAATCTAAGTTATCCTGATTTTTTAATACAGGGCTAAATCAGGCTGGATTGACATTTATATTGAAAAATTTGTTTTGTACCTGGAAAGTCAGCTGATTGGTGAGGAATGGATTGAAGTTTAACATTTTCTATACTTTGAGTTAGAGTCTTTTCTCTGATCATTGAAGAATCCAACACAATAATAAACAATTAGACCAAGAGATAGAATTTTGATTAAATATAGTTCTGCAGTGCATTTATAAATTTAAATTCATTCAAAACACAAGCAGAAAACTGCTAAAGGGAGGGAGGAAGGGAGTTACAAAAGAGTAATAGAAGGGATTCCAAGATGGTAGCTTACTGACAGAACCCAGACCACCAAACTCCCACAAGCCTAAAAGATAATCTTGGGTTCATGGCAGGAAGGATAGTCTGTTTACTTTGCTAAATGAGAGGGTATAGATATATAGATATACCGAATCTACAATGACCAAACTCTAAATAAGCTTTTTAAAGTGGAAATCTGCCCCTGGAGTATGGGCACCACAAGGAATATGCTATGCTGCTGGCATGTGTTCTTTTTTCTTTACCTGGAATAGAGTAGCCTCCAGTCCATGAAGACTACCTGAAGTGCTAAAAACAAAACAAACAAACAAACAAACAAACAAAAACACAGGGAATTGAGCCTTCCAGGAGCCATGGGAGAAGGGGAACAACTCTGATTGCTGACTGCTGACTACCAACATGAGGGATCCTCAGATACCAGAGAGAAGTACCCACAAACAATTCAGGTGAGCAAGCCACTTTCAGTCTTAAGCGCTATCACACAACTCAGCTCAGCTTGCAGGCATGTGACTGCATCCCACAAGCTTATTAAGTTTTTGGCAGAATAAATCAGGTGAAATTTCCTGTCCTCATGGGGGAGAGGCACCATGACTTATACTTCAGCCCACACTTATCTCTACAAAGGAAGACAGTGTGGGTGCAGGCTATTCAAGCCTGAATCCAGCTTGAGCTCACTCAACCACCACTGAGAAGCCTAGTAGCAAGCTGAATCTTATTGCCTTGCAGAGAAGAGCATTTGTCTTGAGCTAAAGTTCCCAGACTTGCCCCATGAGGGAGACAGGCCACCTCTCCCTGCTCAACTAGTAATGATCTTCTCTGAAAAGCCCCATAGCTAAGGGATCTGAAACTGACTCTCTTTCCCCCATCCCACCCTGCTGCCCCCAAGAGGAGCCTTTGGTAAAACAACCTGAGATAGAACTATCAGACTTTCCTGGCAGAGGAGAGGGTGCTGTCTACCCTACTCACTATCCCTATAGCCACTCCTGAGAAATGTCCTAAATAAGCAAGCTGAAGGTGACTGACTCTCCCCTCCAAGAGGAGTCTTTGGCTAAACAGTCTGAGTGGAGCAGCCCAAACTTGCCCAGATGAGAGTGCACTGTTGTTTGCTACTCAGCCCAACATATCTATCCTAAAGAAAGGCAGAGACCATCTGTCTAAACAGACTCAGACAAGTGAGCACCACCCAACAGAGAGATGTGAGAACTGCAGACTAAAACCAAGGGATCAGTAATTGGAGGGCAACATCCACTGCACTCAAATTTGAACTTTAAAAAACATTTTTCTCTGTTTTGACAAAGTTTCAATTTGTCTATCCCCCTTTTAATCCAATTTTTTTCTCCTTTGTTTTTCAAATCACAGCCCCCCCTCCTTATTTTCTTTTCTTTTTCTTCTTTCCTTTCTTCTCCACCCTTTTTTTTCCCACATCCACTATCTCTGTCTAACAACTAATGGTTTATCCTACTCCCTTCTTATATGACCCCCATTCTAACTTTCTGCAATCTCTTTTGACTGTGGCATCCTCCTCCATAGCAACTGAACTATACCTCTACACTCATTTACATTAGAATCTTTTTAACCTGCAGTCCCCACACCTCACACCTCTTTTCCTCCTTTACTCATTCCCTTCTTAATTTCTTCTCCTATTTCCATTATTTTTACTGCCTAAGTTTTAATCTCTATGTGAAGAACTTTTATTTATCCAACACCTCCTTGTTTATAGATAATACTGCCAAGACTTTTCAATTTCACCTAAATATTTGGTTTGTTATAGAATTTGAGAATTTATTATTGCTAAGTTATACTCCCAGGTCAGTGGACAGAAATGACACAACAACCTAGCCAATAACCAGTTCTGCCAGAACGTAGGAATTAATTCAAGAGAAAGAGTTCAGGTGACTAAAATCCCAAACCAACTAAGCAACCCCCAACCAAGCAAATGGAACCCCAAAACAGGCAGGAGTAGTTATACATATTAAAGTAGATTTCAAACCTAAACTAGACAGAAGAGACAAAATAGGTCACTTCATACTAATAAAAGGAACAATACATGAAGAGGAATTAACAAATGTTAACTTAAGTGCACCCAATATTAGCACACCCAACTTCATTAAAAAAACACTGTTGGACTTAACAGATGAGCAAATCTCGAAATAGAAGCATGGGAAATAGGAAAATTCAGGAGATTGTGACTCCTCCAAAAGTCAGCAACCACACAACAAAGAATCTGATGGATAATGAAAGGGATGAAACCTCAATCTCCAAGCTCAAAATGATTATGATAAGAATGGTTAAAGAAATTAAAGAAGACAGGCAAAAATAAGTCAATGAAATCCAAGAGAATATGGATAAATAGGTTGAGAAGTCACAAAAACAACTAAATGAAATCAAAAGTAGGAAATAAACAAACATCTGAATGAAATAAAAAAGATACAAAAACAGAGATAAATGAAATAAAAAGAAAATACAAGATGTGATAGGGGAACATTATTAAGATATAGAAAGTCTCAAAAAAATGGAAAGCCTGGAAATAAAAGCTCCTTAAGTCAAATAAAAAATACAGTTGAAAGGATTCTGGCAGGATAGAACAACTTGAAGACTGGATTTTAGGACTTGAAAACAAAGTAGATAAAGAGAATGACACAGATAAATACATAGAGAAAAGAATGAAGAAATAAGAAAGGAATATGTAAGAACACTGCAACTCAATTAAAATAACAAATTTACAAATCATGGACATTGAAAAGGAGATGATGTCCAAGCAAAAGGCATAGGAAACTTATTCAATAAAACAATTAAGAAAAAACCCCAAATTTTGAGAAAGAGATGCTCATCTTGGTACAGGAAACTTCTTAGACACCAAACAGACATGACC